GAGCATTCTTTGGCACTGCCCTTCTTTGGGATTGGGATGTAGATTGATCTTTTCCAGTCCTCTGACCACTGTTGAGTTTTCCAAACTTGCTGGCACATTGAATGTAGCACCTTAACAGCGTCATCTTTTAAGATTTTAAATAGTTCCACTAGAATGCCATCACTTCCACCGGCATTGTTGTTAGCCAAGCTTTCTAAGGCCCAGTTGACTTCATTCTCCAGGATGTCTGGCTCTAGGTCAGCAACCACACTATCTGGGTTGTCTGGGATATCCAAATCTTTCTGATATAGCATGATTTATTTATTTATTTTATTTATATCCCACCTATCTGGTCGGATTAGGACCACTCTAAGCAGCTTGACCTAATATATAGCATGACCTAATTTGATTTAATTTCCAGTCAATCAGATGTGACTTGTGTGGGCCATCCAAAACAGAGAGATAAGATATTCTAAATTACACCCCTTCTTTTGCACATTAAGACATTCAAATGGAATAAAAGATGAGGACTGTGATTTGACTTTTTCACTTTTATGGGAAGCAATTCACAAGTTAAATATTAGTTTTCAAATATGGGACCAGCAAGCTTCCACAGCCCCCCTCCAAAGCATTCTATTTCTCAACAGAAGAAACATCCTGTCCATCTCCTTTCTAATGCCCTGGAAACCTTCTGCTTCTTGTGCTGCTAAAAGATACCTTTTTTTGCTCCACCCTTACGAATTCCACCTCTTTCTGCAAACTCTCACAGTCATGCTGAAGTTGAGAAAACATTCGGGAACTGTCTTCTTGTAGTTTACGCAAGGCAAGAGTGTGATCTTGAAAGAAGGCAGTCATTTCTTCTTTATAGCGCATCATCTTTAAGTCATAAAAAGACAACAGTACATAAAAGAGATATGCTCTTTTTTATACACACACACACACACACACACACACACACACACACACACACTTGCTTGGACCCACTCAGGTTCAGTAGGTATGGCACAAGGACAATGATATGCTTTTTTCAATTCACCTTTTCAGCCACTGAGGAAAGTTTCTTCATGTTATCCTGCAACTGATGATTTCTATCCATCACAAATTTCAGCATAGGTGACAGAGTGCTAAGTGCTCGGTTTAGCCCTGAAGCGTGTTCTTCCTAGAAGCAAAAGAAGAGAATGGGATATCTCCCAGTTCGTATGGCACAAGGACAATGATATGCTTTTTTCAATTCACCTTTTCAGCCACTGAGGAAAGTTTCTTCATGTTATCCTGCAACTGATGATTTCTATCCATCACAAATTTCAGCATAGGTGACAGAGTGCTAAGTGCTCGGTTTAGCCCTGAAGCGTGTTCTTCCTAGAAGCAAAAGAAGAGAATGGGATATCTCCCAGTTCTTCCACGTTTAGAACCATAAAAACCCAGTAAGGAAGTCAAGCATTGAGATAAGAAACCCAGTATGCCTCCTCCATTGCTACCTGTCAGTATAGACCTTTTAAAATGTTTCACCTGGGATATCAGGTAGAACTGGCAGCAAGCAGGTTTGAGGCTAAGCCTTCTGCAAGCATGTCCACCAATTTTTCCACTCTTTGTGTAAAGAGGAGGTATGCCACTCAAACAATTGCCCTATTTGTTTTCACTATGATGTAAAAGCTCTTCTGGAGCCACCCCTCGTCTTTTCTAGCATCTCCTCTCAGACCATTATACCAAGTTCTTGACAAAGGCTGGGAGTGCCCTGTAACCATATTAGTGAGGTTTGTGTTTCAAGAAATCAGAAAATTTCTTCATTAAGACTATATAATTGTTTTACTAAGCTAAGATATGAGCATATACTTACTATCAGCTTCTGTAGGTCATTTTTATTTTCAGATGTCAGTGACTCCTGCTTAAGGATCTTTTCAGAAACTACAGAAACTTCAGTGGAAACCCTTTCCTTGAGACAGCTGAATGTTTCAACAATGGCTGCTGCAGTAGCTTGAAAGGCTGAAGAAATGTCCGACAGAAGATCACCTTGCCAAGAGAAAGCAAGAATATAGCCAAGTCATTTCTCACCAGGCTATAGAGGAACAGCCTCAAGGTTTCAGAAACATGCCTAACTCCAAATTAAACTTAAGGGGCAGAAGGTTTTTCTGAGTTATTGTCATTTAATGTTGAGCAGCAGTACTTACCAAGTGAATGAGTGTAAGAGTCAAGCATCATCTGCTGTTCCCAATAGTTCTCCTTACAAGATTTTTTGATCTCCTTGAAAAGAGTGTCCATGTGTTCTGTAAATGTCTTCTGGGCTTCTGCATTATGTTGCTCAACCGCTTTTTTGCGTTCTAGTTTTGCATGCAGACCAGACACATCTTGAGTAGTCTCTTTAACTGTAGAAAGTAGCTAAGATAGAAAGAAACTGAGTCTTCAAATACTACCTCCTACATTACAAAAAGCAGATCTGATTATGATACTTAAACCACATTAAGTCACATTACAGCAGAACGTACAGCAGTAGTTCTAAGTTGTAGATGACAGTCCTTGCCACTGTTTATGGCTTTTGGTAGATACTAAATTAGTAAAAAATTATTTTGAATGAACCTGGACTATTTGTATCTGCAGGAAGAAGTTGCAACCTGACCAGCCTGACGTTTATAGCTCCCAAGCACACTGAAATAAAAGTATAAAAAGCCCTGTCAACACATTAGTAACATATAGGGCATCCATATGTGAAAAGATTAGGGTTGCACTTCAGGTCCTTCTGATAATGCATGCATAAGCCACCTTTCAACATCTATATACTGAGCACAGACATCTGAGGAAACAACACTGACCCACAATCAGCTGCATCCAGCCAAATTCCATCAATTTCCTAGTCACTGTCACATCAGTGTAAATATGGAGCTTTTACTGCCAAGCATGGTGTTAGAACATTACCAGGTAAAAGCAGACATATACAGTGGTGCCTCGCATAACGAGCGCACCGTATAACGACGAATCCGCATAGCAATCCCTTCTCCGGGATCGCTAATGCGGAGGCATAGCGTCCGTCCATATGGAGAAA